TTTCTTTTTCGGTGAAATATACTATGGCACTACTGTACCATCAAAGCTAAACTTAACTACTTCTAAGTCAATCCAGAAGACTGGCCATTTCTAATTCAAATTATAGCAGGCTCCTTTGCACTTCCGCCTCTAATCTGGGTAGTTGCTGCCTTTTCCTAAGCGCGCCTAAGTTCATTATGACCGTTGAACTACGGGAAATATAGCCATACTCACTCTCATGACTAACATGTAGAACGGAACTTGAGGTATCAACATCATGTTAATCGCTAACCAATTACTAGCCGGGATTGTTCACTTTATGCGGATGAGCCAATGTGGACGCTTGCAACCCGAAATTCAAAACTGCACTTTAAATCAAAGAATCATTGTAGAGTACTTGAGCTCCAGGGATAGTTATTGATCAATACACCAAATTCTTCACCCGAATGCAAGAACGAATATGGAATATTGTAAGCAGCACCAACTAGCCACCAGATATGAATGCATATATATATATATATATATATATATATATATATATATATATATATATATCTGGCAAAGTAAACAAGGCCCTCCTAGATAAGCGGTGACCAGTCATACGTAGTACGTCCCAAAACCGGCGCAACTTATTCAGTGCTATCTGTTGTTCTAGGGAGCTCGCATGATTATCACTGCGTAATACTCACCTGTGCACATCATCGTTGCAGACACGCTGGTGCCATCCGACACCAGCAATGCTTCGCAAACAACGATGATCAAAGACTTGAAGGCGCCTCAGATCATCAGACCGAGGGCGTCAAGTCTCACTCCCATAGATCAGGACGGCCCTCATTGTGGCCTTGTAAACACGACCTTTCAGACAGAGGGTAACTCTCTTCTGTCGCCAAAGATGTCGCGGGTTCAAGAAAGCTGTTCTGGCTTTTTAATGCTTGAACTGACTTCAGTTTCTATGTGCCCATCGTTGCCGATACAGATGCCAAGTGTAAGTGTATCGACCAACTACCTGGAATTCCTCACTATCAAGGGTCAAGGGGTCATCAAGTAGCTGGTGGTCTTGCAGCAACACTGCACTTTGAAGGTGCGAAGCGGGTACCAAATAATTGGGTCACTTTAAAGAGGCTATTCAGGTTTCATTTTGCCGCCGCGACATCGTCAAAAAACTAGGCGACATCGTCCACAAAATCAAGATCAACTAACCTTACCCCATGCAGGACCTCAACGCCTACATGGTGAGATACCACAAGGGAACACTCTATGCTGGAGTCCACGACGCAATTAAACAAAAACAGGGAAATCGGACAACCCTGACGAACGCCAATTGTCGGAAAGCTATCCGACAAGTCACCGTAGCCCCTGACGCGGCCTGCATTGTTCGAGTAAGGAGCACGTAAGTTGTTCACCTATTTCGTGGTAACGCGTCTCCGCGGAAGTGTTCGAACAGAATCGATCGATCGACTGAATCGAACGCACTTTTGAAGTCGAGGAGCACAGCTATTGTCGGTCTTCGGTATCCATGGCGCTGCTCTAGCACCTGCCGTAAACTGGATATATGGTATATATAGCCCCATCATGGCCGGAAACCTGTCTGCTCTTCCCTAATCCAAGTTTTCCGTTCCACAGTGAGGCGATGAACGATAATCGACGCCAATAATTTCGTCACAACTGGCGTTAGGCTAATACCCATATGGTTAGCACAGTCGGTCCGACTGCGCTTCTTGTATCTCGCAACTATAATCGTTTCACTCCAGTTAGCCGGGACATCGTCTTGTTTCCAGATATGTTCGATTAGAGAAGTCAGTGCTTTGCTTTTCGTCCGTCCTTAAATAGTGCAGGTGGGAGGGATTCTAGGCCAGCAGCACGGAAACGATTGAGGGTTGTGATTGCGTTTCGAACCTCATCCTCCGATGGAGACTCTGAACTAACCGCCCATAGCTCGTTCTGCATCACCTGAGTAGGAAGAGGTCCGGGAACAGGGGGTCAGCTGAACTGATTTAGAAAGTGTTCTGCCCAACGAGCCATACGACGCTCCTTACTGTGTATCAGTGCACCCGCGTTGTCTCTGATTGTCTAAATGACGCCTGGTTTCTTGGGACCAGTGGAGCGGATCAGCTGGAAGAGCTTGCGGTAATTGCCTACTGCTCCTGCGTCCTCCTTTTCTTGAGCCCGACTCGTCCACCAGGCTTGCTTGTCAGCGCGCAGGCTCAGCTGTAGTTCACGCTTAATAGTCCATCTGGTCACAGTGTGCTTAAAGCCAGCCGGGAGTTTCCTTCTGGATTCCAACTGGTTCACCGACCTCTCGTATGTACAGTGACTGGTGCGGTGACGATTGATAGTGCCACAAGCGGATGCTCCTGCGTCTTGCATGGCGGCCGAGATCCTATTCTACTGCAGCACAGTGTCATTATGACAATGGGGTGAACGTTCAGTACGCAGTGCAGTCTGGTAGGCTTGCCTGACTTAGGGCTGAGATAACATCTCAGTTTCCAATCGGAGGAGACGCTTGGTGTTCCTCTCGGTAAAGTTCATGAAAAGGCAACAGCATATTAAGCGTGATCAGAGTCGACGCAAGTACTCCGGAATGAGCGACAATCTAGGATGGTGCCACATCACCTGCAATGTGATCTATTTGGGTCCATCGCTGACCAGCTACGGGAGGACGCTAAATGCACTTCGGCGCCTACTGTGTCTAAAAGCAGTGTGACTAAGAAACAGCTGGTGCTTCGCACACAGTTTCAGCAGACGCTCACTGTTGTCCTTACGATCGGAGTTAGGCCCATAATTTACCCCCAGCTGAGCTTCTGAAGGGCCCAGGCTATCTACTTTTGCGTTCATATCCCCTTTAAGTATTATGATATCTGAACTGGTAGCACTGCGTAGTAACGTGTTTACTTCATGGTGGAATGTGCCCTTCGCAGCATCAGAACTGCAGTCAGTGAGTGTTTGCGGAAATCGCAACTAAACTGCGTCTTGTACTACTTCTTGAACCAACCTTGGTCGATATCGTCACGCGGGATGAACACAAACGGCTTTTCACCGGAATCCAATCAAGCAACAATGACTCAGCCTTTGAGCTGAATACGATACCTACCCCAGCTTGACCAGAGGCTGCCGCATCACGGTCTCTGGCTACGTGCAACTAGTAGAGAGTGGTTAAACGGGGTGCAGTTAATTCCATAACGCCATGAGAGTCATTGATTCTAGTTTTTGACACACAAAACACATCATACCCAGTGTGTCCAAGGTGCGTGCGTGTGCAGCCTGCTGACCTTTCTGTCTTGGTGTGCGAATTTTGAACGCCGCCAGAGAAACCGGACATCGTTTCCTTATATGGGACTGCTGGTGATACGCGGCCAGTGGTTGGTGCGGGAACGTGGATGCAAATGGTTCTATTCCAGTGGCACTTCGGTTGCTGTCAATTAAGCTGGGAACCATAGAAGAATGGTTGGTAATGGGGTTGGGTGGTGAGTAAAAGAGACAGATGAAAAAGAAAGAAGGGAGGCGCCAGCAGTAGCATGTTTTCGATTATCCGCCCTGCTGCATGCAGCAGATAAGGTGACCCTTGATGGGCGCGCGTCGGCCGACGAGGATGTAATTAACCTTTAAGGAAATAGTCATGATCGTATGTATTCTGAGATATTGCCAGTGTCCCCAGACCTAGGCATGCGGACGATTAGTATCCTCAACTATGGCCTTTGGTTCAAAGGTGTGTACGCAAGGCAGCGGGTAGGTGGCAATGATTTAGTTTTACAGAAATGGACGCCATCCCATTTCAAACCCACAACCTGGAGGAGGCCAGGAGACTGAGTTTATCTGACCTCTAACCATTGACCAACCTGGTAGGAGTAGCTCTCATATGGTCCGGGGGCACCACCCAGCAGAGCTCAATGGGTCAGAGTTACACAAACCGTCGCTCCACGTTATGGTCCAGTCTCGTCCATCTATGACTGCAGCATTCCGAAGGTAAGCCATCATTGAAGATCGGGACAAAGACGAAGCTGCTGTAGTCGGTTGAGACAATTTCCTGCTTCCACAGTTTTAATAATAAATTTTACAATTCATCCACGAGAGTAGGTTTTGCCGACTTTGAAGGGGGCTTGAGAAACTTTGTTTAGTCCTGCGGACAGCTCACTAAGCGGGGTGGTAGCTGACAGGCGATTATAGTTCCAGTCGATTAACTATATATATATATATATATATATATATATATATATATATATATATATATATATATATATATATATATATAGCCAGTATAATTGAGCGGTATCCACTTGCTTATCTTAGTTTGCAAACTATTGCAAATAGTCGATATGCTGTGACGCGTAACATAACTGGCTTTTCATTTGTAAGCGCCAGGATTCATTATTACTAGTAATAACACCGCCACTGTTCCCGTAATTGCGTGCATAGTCGGCGCGAAAGCAATTAAAACAGGGATATCGATATCTAGGAATAGGTTTGGAAGCGATCGGGAAGTTATTATTTCAGCAGGCCTGGTTAGACGACCGGGAAATGGATTTGTTATGCGCATGACGTTTTGTTTTTGAACAAAGCAGTGTCCTTTTCTGCATTGTAGAACAACTCATTCCCCCCGTCTTCTTTTACGCCTCTTGCAGTTCTGACTAGGAACTCGGGTGAGGTCGATATTTCATCTTAACAACCACCGTCGTATGCGTCCTATATTGAAATATCTGCTCTTTCGTGCTCCTGATGTCTAAGGTTGCACCGCACATTTTTCTCTCTTCATCGTTCGCTGATGACATCTTAAGCGCAAATGGGCGATACGTGCTTTTCTCACTAATATTTTCCACTAGTGCTACTTGCGTCTCGTCACTTTTTATTCGTAAACATGGCTACTTGCTATATCTTCTGTCGGCTCAATGTCCCACACGATATACGACCGCATATTCCGCTCTTGTACTATAATTTTCTATTTTCTTGGTTCAGTTTGCATTCTACTTGCACAACTAATATGATATAGATTGTATTTCTCCATTCGTTCCTACTTTTCTTGTTAGGAGCTGAGTAGCACACGCTACTATGCCAACATGACACCTCAAATACAGCGCCACCCTATTTGGGAGCAAATGTCATTTTGGGAGAATGTCTTCAACGAACATGTGAACAATCAAATTCGCCAGCTATATTTGCATTTCTCCGAACAAGAACAACAAGACCCCCCGCATTCCGGGGGTGACAATCGCCATGACTCCATCTCTTCACAGGCGCCCGCATCTGCCGCAGGTCACCGACCTCGCCTTCTAACTGTCTCTCCAGTGTCGCATTTGTCCACGGGGGAACGCGTGATTACCGTGAGTGTGAGGAAAGATTCCAACGTAAGCCCACACCACAACGCCTCTCTTGTGGTTGCTCCACATGGGTGGTAATGTTATTCTTCTGAGCCACCGATCAGAGTACCCGCTTTCATGATCTCTGGGGGCGTTGTTTACGTTTTGAGTCCCATCAATTCGTCTATTAATTATTTGTTTACGGATGACACTCTTGGATTTGCCATTTCATGTATGGTGCTTCAATGTTGCCCTATCCCATTCTTCCTTCCTTTTCAAATTCATAGTCGAAACGATGGTGCATAGCCCCATCCTTCGCTTTTCCATCTCTGGAGTAGAAGTATTTTTGTGACTGATTGCCAAACTTAGGGTACGCGGATAACAGCTTTCTTTAGATCGGACGCATCTGCTACGAAACTGCCGTTCAATAAGTTGATGCATAGGTCTACATGCTTCGGCGTGTGGTTTACCCACTCAAAGTAGTTCCACAAGACTGACCCGACTCACCACCACTTCTCGCTATCACTGAATAACCGCTCAAAGTAGATGATAATTAACGTTTATTCACGACTTGTGCGAGACATGTCTGAGTAAGCATGATCAGTTAATTACATCAGTTCAGTTCAGTTGAACAACTATGATCCAAGCACCAAAGTGCGGTGGACCCAGTTGCCACGACTCACATCGCAAGAATAACATTAAACGACAACGGCAAGACAGTGAAGTTAAAGGCAAAGAGAATGCAACGAAAATGGAAGCAGGAAATATTTGCGTTTAACTAATCAGAATGCAACGAAAATAACAACGACATTTACGAAACAGAATGCAAGAACGCCACTGAGTACGGGACTACACTATGTTAGATACGGTCTCCAACCATTGGTGTGGACCATCACGAGGCTCCTATCTACGAAGGCGGCATCTGACTAAAGCCCTCCGTCAATTTCTTTATGCCACCATGCCATGTCATGGACTGGCCACTTCCTCTCGTAACACGATCGTATCAGCGATCGTAGAGATTTGCACAAGAACCGGGCAATCTACACGACACAACATAAGCAAAATTATTGAGATACCATGTACAATAACTGTTATGAACGTTATATGCATACCAAAAACTTAGTCGTTACAATAAAAGACTTCGATTGACTAAATATTAATTAAATGTTATGTGCACGGTAAGATTTTGTACTCGCGATCCATTATCGCACCTTTAGATGAAGTAACGCCACTCTCAGTTCCACGTAGCACTTCCGTTCACCTATCACAGGTGATGCGCTATTCGCAGGTAAACGTTGTATTAGGATGTTAATCTCTAGAAGAACAAATTTAATCGAAGTCGTAGACACTGCAAACGCATCCGGAGTTTTTTGTTTGGTCACCAGAAGAGTTGTTTGGATCTGTTCATTATAAACTGAACAAGATCAAGTTTTCGCTGTCTCACGGGTCACGTTCGTGTCCTGTTTAGTCTTATTTTTCCACTCTCTTTTACTGGAGCACCCAGCATGCCACACAAAAAAACCTGGCGAGTTCTACCAGATGGGCGGAGGTAAACTAGTCAGATAAGAGTTCGCATTGGCCCTCAAAACGGTGCTTTTAATTCTTCATTTCTAAACTGAACAGAATCCGGTTTTCGTCATCTGACGGTTCACGTTCCAGCTTTGTTCAGTCTATCCCCTTCATACTACGTTTAGGATGCCAGTCAGGCAAGGAAATGTACGAATGCTACCAGGGTCGCGGTTTCACCCTACTTGGTGCAGCCGCAGCGGCATAATCCATGCCGAGGAAGCCGGTCAACGGACATACAGAGGACATGGTCTAGGCTACGCAAACGATTACAAATCAACAAACACTCGAGTAAGCCGTCAGAAGGCTTCTCGCCATAAACCAACCGGCGGACCTGAGTATTGCTCACCTGGTGTTCCCACCAGACATGAGCACTACTCCTTAAACACCGGTAATCAAACACGGTCAAACGTTTAATTTCTTCACTGCTCGCTGACCAGGTCTCTGATCGCTGCAGTAAGACCGGCTTTATCGCAATGTTATCCACCCTATCTTTGTCAGTCTGATATCCGCCATCTCCATGGATGGTTGAGTCTCTGGAAAGCCACACGGGCCTTGCTGGTAGGCGAAATAATTTCCTCAGTGATGTGACCACCAAAGGTGACACAGCTACCAAGGTAAGTGAACCGATGCATCACTTTCAGTGGCTGTTCGCTGGTAGCCAGAACCGGTGGTGTGTGTCTCCAGTCCCGCAGCGGTACTTTACATTTTGTAAATGCAAAACACATGCCGAGGTGTGCAACGCTACGCAACAGTCTATCCAGTATTGTTTGCATAGTCACCGAGTTTGTCGCACGAATAGCTATGTCGTCCACATAATCCAGATTTTTCAGCCGGTTATCTGACAGAACTTGCACTCTGAAAAAAGACCTGGAAGAACAGAGTCCTTTATGATCATTTCTACCATAAAGTTGAAGAAGAAAAGAGGTATAGGACAACTCTGGTGAATCCCACCTGTCATTAGAACTCAGAAGACCATTTCCCGTTGACCATTACAAGACCTCAGGTATCAGTGCAAACTTCAGAGAAGAAGAGGTTTGTCTAGCTCGCTCTTCACGCATAGACAATGCCACAAGTCGACGTGATCAACAGATTCGAATGTGACTTACAAGTCACGGGAAACCACTACACTCGGTCATCGGTATGCGTGTCTCTGCTCAAAAACTTTTTGAAGAATAAATGTCTGGTGCTTGCAACCACAACCATGGCGGAATCCAGCCCGGTTTTCAGTGGTTTGGTTCTCACAAGGACCATTGAGTCGTCGATTATTGAAACTCGTGTGAACTAAAGAAGCAGTGGAAATGAGGCTAATGCCTCGATGACTTTCGCACCAACTACGCCTACCGCTCTTGTAGATGAGCACGACACTTGTCAGTCGCCAGCCTGAAGGCACCACTTCATTGTCCCGAATCGTCTTAGATACAGAAGCGAATCTAGTCAACCAAGAGTCGTCACCATCTTTCAGCAAAGCTGGATGAAGGCAGTCGGGTTCAGGAGCCTAGTTTCTTTTCTACACATTGAGCTCTTGTCGAATATTTTTCAAAGTGGGAGGTGTGACATCAACTTCCCACGTCGGCTCAGGTGAATGGCAATGGGCAGTGTCACATAAGGCCTGCTGCACCGTCCTTCAAAATGTTCTGCCTAACGTGCTAGCGACATGGTTGTGAATGAACCAATCGTCCGTCTTCCTCAGCTGTTGTCTAGCTAACTGATGGCTTTCTCAGGCCCGTGTTCCGGATGGGCTGAAATAGCACTCAGGTACTCCCGATAGCACTTGGTTTCTGCATCTCACGAGCCCTTGCCACCCACCAGCGTTTTCGGTCAATTCGAAGACTCCTTTTCAGACGTCGGGTCAGGACGTTACCAATATGTTGAAACTCAGTACAGCTTGGTGCCTGTTTACACGCATCGATCAGGGTGGTTGCTGCCTCAGAGATCCACTCACAGTTACTACGTCTCATGTTGGGTGCATAGCAGGCGTTAAAATCATTGTTTAAGACATGCTTGAGACTATTCCAGCCAGTGTTCGGCTCATTAACCTAATTCATCACTGGCAATTGTTTGCCAGTTCGTCAACAGATTGTTGGACTGCTGCAGGCGAGTTCTAATTACAAATGAGAGGTGTAGGAGTTAGACGCTCGGTTGTAGTGAGAGCAGTGAGCACCCGTGGTGCGCATTGGAGCAAAGTCGGAGTCTAGACACGTGTTCCAATTTGGCCGATCGTCTTAGACTGATGTGTGCCATTCGTAACTCATTTCAACCTGGGCTATTTCCGTCATGTTTATCGAAGGATTCGGCGGGCGCCGGGTTACGCGGTGTGAACGTTTATCCTGGAAATCAGCGCTACTGATTTAAAGGCTGTGGTCAACTCACATTTGCAGGAATACGTCACCATCGTTTGTTTGGCTTGCATCGACCCCGAAGCGTTCTCCCAGGTGTTGTTCATAATCTGAAAGACGACCCATTTGGGCATTCATGTCACCAGAAACAATCACAGACAGTATCTTTTACTATGCGTAGTAGCGATTGCCGCAAAACTCAGTCTTTCAGCGACAATCGGGTTATTCAGCAAAGCAAGCCCAGCAAAAATCAAAGCCTGAAAAGCATGTTGGAATCTCGATATAACTAACTAAGTCATTGCTATAACTGACGACGCTGCTGCACTCAGGAGATTCTTCCTTTGGATCAGTTAAACAAACATGCTCCAGCGAACCAGTCAGCGCATTGACAACATATGCGTAGGCGTCCAACCAACTGCACTGTTTGCTTGAGGTACGCCTGCTTATACAATTCTGTCACATCCTTCCCTTTTTGGGTTCAGCTGCTTCGGTGTCGCCGTAGAATCTGTACGTTATTCCACTCCGCGTGGTCTTTGCTTCCTCTGTCGTTGTGACTTCTCCGCAAGACATCAAGTGTTTTGCTGTAGGTTCATCTTCTGGTTCTCTGGGTGTCGCCTCAGCTGCACTCGGATCCTTCTGATTACCTCCATCCGGTACTGACTTCATAAGATCTTTCTCCAACCTTCACAATCGCCACATCTTCCTTTTATCATTCGCTGACATCCGGTATTAATTGGATCCACATTTTATTATTTACTGATAGCTCTGGCAGCGCCCGGGTGCCGCGGTCATAATACTGTTTCTGAGCTGCCATCCGTTTTCTTAACCCCTTTGTAATTACTCATGCGCTGGAGAGACAGGGTGCAAGAGTTCAACAGATACGGGCATTAGGGTTCTTGTCCTGCTGCTGTGCAAACGTTGCACTGGACTGCGACCCGAAGTCCAGTAACGGCTTATTGCGAATCTCCAACAATATTAGTGTATCTGGCTTTCGACAACAGCCTCTTGGCCTGTTTGACAGCCGCCTCTGCTTTTTCGTTAGACTGATTGTGATACGGACTCGTTTGTCGATATGAAAATTCCTACTTGTTCGCGAATGTCTGGAACCCAGCACTAGTAAATTACGAGCCAATTTCGGAGATC